CAGTGTTAAAATTTTAAAGCTTGTTCTTGCTAGCCAATACAAATTCTTTCCGATAATCACTCAAAATAAATAATTCTAATCTATGTAAATATGCATCAGCACATGTTATACATAATGCCTACTATAATAACACATAGGCCCAAGCGTGATTTTTAAAAATCTTAAATCCGTTTAAGTCCCAGGCCAGGTCTTTCAGAAACAGAAATGTGATAGGCCTATTGTATGGTTCAGTTTGGTTTTTATCGTTTTTGAAGCTCTATAAAGTTTTGATTTAATACTACAGCACTATTAGTTAATACTATTAATAATAATTATGATGACAATGATGATGACGATGGTGATAATAGATAATAATATTAGTAATATTAACAAGTGAAGAAAATTGTGCTAAAGGCGAAAAAGTAAGTTGTGATTTGTTGATCACAATTATTATAGTATAGTTAAAGCTTAGTAAGCTATAGTTAGGCCTAAGTTGTTTGGATATTAAGTAGATTCCTGATAAAAGATTATGAAAAATTTGTTTGCGCTTGATTTTGACTATATAGTGGTGATGTAATGACGATGAAGTTTACTATATAAAAGTGTCATTTTCGGCCATCTAGAGGTACGGTACTTTCCTCAAATTTTCGCACCTCAGCCCCAACCATGTTGGGGCTGAGGTGATTGTGAAATCACGGCTTTGAAGTATATAAAGTCTCAAAAACAATGTTTATAAGCTTTATTTTCTATGGTACATCACACAAAGATCTCTATGGTTGCCGAAAATCCCTGATAAATGATCATGAGAAATTTGTTGGCGCTTCATTTTGAGTATATGTTATCAATGCCGTAGCCAGCTATTGGGACAGTTGGACAGTCCCACACAATTTTTCTATTGGGTCCACAAAGAAGAGTACATTTTCAAAAATAGGTCTAAATTATGCTGTTTTAGCACAAAATGAGTCCTGATTTTGAAAAATGGGTCCAGATTTCTCATATTTTGCGTAAAATGGGTCAACTTTTAAGAAAATGGGTACATATTTTTCATATTTTTGCGTAAAATGGGTCCACTTTTAAGAAAATGAGTCCATATTATTTGAATTTACGCGTAAAGTGGGTCCACACTGATATTTTCCCGCATTGTTTGAAAATCCAGCTACAGCATTGTATAACGGTGATGTGATGATGATGTTTTTAGGATCTGGTTTTCACATGCCCATTTTTTGTAATTATGACTATTTTGGATAAAGAATGTTTTGAGCAGTGGTGGATTCAAGGTCTCCCCCTAAATATTTTCAATGAAAAAAATATATATAGAATATGTATATATATAGAATATGGCCCCAAATTCAAATTTAAGTCTGAAAGTGTAATTTCCGGTCATCTATAGGTGCCCTAATCATAAAATTTCTTACCTCAGCCCCAACCATGGTTGGGCTGAGGTGGGTGGTTACCCAATCTGTAAAACTCCCCTGGAGTCACCTCTATTGAATTCCTGGATCCACCACTGTTGAGTTTTATATTATTGTTAGGCTTACTAATATTATTTATGAGCAATGCGTTTATTGAAATTTGCACTTCATCATTTCAGAACAGCCCTAAAAACTTTCAAAGCACACTACTTTCCAGGGGACTTCGCCCCTGGACTCCCCACGGGGTCTACGTAGGCCTATTTGCATAACGGCTCCCACCACCCGCCCCCCTTTCAAAATCCTGGCTACGTCCCTGGATGCTATAACTCGCAAAATTAGGTGATTTTAGGTGATCTTTAACTACTTGCAATTGATTGAAAGCCTGAGCCCCGGCCGAATGCAAATTGTTAGCTCAAAATAGGAAACTAACTCGCACAGGCTGTTGTTCGCACAAGTGAATTTTTTCTCCGCTCAAACCTCAAACTCAGCAAACTAGCATCCACTCGAATACATTCCGCTCGAATCCGCTCGAACTGGCATTCGCTCGAAGTGGCATCCGCTCGAATTGACTGGGCCCCCCCCCCGCCCATTCGCACTGCGACAGTGCCGCCGATAGCCACTACCCTGCCGAACACTCAGTAGTCAAATGTGGTAGGTATACAGGTAGGCCTTAGAATCAAATCATAGTGGTTATAAGCGAATTACATGCAATGAAGACTACTACGCCTACACATTTGCAACATGAATTTGACTGTATTGTTGTTGGCGCTGGAATCGAAGGCTCATCAACTGCATACACCCTGGCTAAGAACAACAAAAATGTTCTCCTATTGGAGCAGGTAAGATTAGTATTAAAATGTGATTAAATGTGTATGGAACGCCAAAAGGACAAAATACAATTGGCAGCAGTGCAAAACTGAGACTCAGCAGTGCAAAACACAGAGTCACAGTACAAAACTGATTAGTGCAAAACACAGAGTCACAGTGCAAAACTGAGAGTCACAGTGCAAAACACAGAGTAGCAGTGCAAAACTGAGTCACAGTGCAAAACATTGGTGGCAATGCAAAACTACAATGCGCATGCCAATGGCAGTGCAACTCAAGTGAACGCCCTCTTTTTTTAATTAAAGTTTCATCTTTTTTGTAAAATGGATGAAATTTTGAGGTCATTGGCCACTCCTTAGTGACCATTGACAATTTTGAAAGAGGTGGGGGGAGGGGGGAGTTTCCAGGCCTAGCCTAGGTCTAGGTAGGCCCTAAAGCCTAGGCTAGGCCTGGCCTAGTTAATAATACAGGAACTTGTACTGCGCCTTTTGCCAAGGACTACATACAAGGTGCAATCAAAATAATTTTTTTAAAAAGATAACCAATTGGGGATCAAAAAAGACAACAGAAATGACAAAAAAAAAAAAAAAAAAAATTTAGACAGTTAAGTGTGATTTATTTAGGAAAACAATGTTTCTTGAGAAGCCGACGAAGTCGAGGCATTTAGGTATAGGCCTATATCTAGATTAAGGCCTTGTGTTTTGACAAGCCCCGGGCACATGTACCTACTACAGGCTAGCCTTCTCCATAGCCCACTGTTTATTAATTATTTCAAACACTTAATTTTTGTATTAATTGTAACGCTTATACGCACCCCTCCCCCCCACCTCTTTCAAAATTGTCAATGGTCATTAAGGAGTGCCCAAGTGACCTCAAAATTTCATCCATTTTACTTGTTGACACCGTCCAAAAAAGCTGTTAAACTTTAATTCAAAATAGAGGGTGTCCACTTGAGTTGCACTGCCATTGGAGTTTTGCATTGCCACCAATGTTTTGCACTGGGAGAGAAAAACCACAATTCGTCGGGGATAAATAAAATGTACCGTATGTATTTTCTACATATTAGAAATTCTAAAATGCTTTTGAAGATGTTGAAATCGTTGCCATTATCCATAATATACAAACAAGTAGGCATAAATAAATCAAAACAATAAAATGACAGACACAAAACCGCAGAATCATATGACCGGACTCTGATTAGTGATAAAGTTTTCCTCCATTAGTGGAAAAAGAAGGGCGCCGTGTGCGTCTGGATATACCTAGCAACAGAAGGGCGCCATGTACGTCTGGACCAAGTAGGGAAACTTGCATTATAAAAAGAGAAGGGCGTCGTGCACGTCTGGTCCAATTTCCGCCTCATTTTTGCTATATGCGAGTGCTCTGTCTCTTGTATTTCTATGGAACGCCAAAAGGACAAACCAAAAATGGCAGAGTGCAAAACTAAAGTGGCACAGTGCAAAACCAAATGCGTGTGACTTTTGCACTGCACCACTTTTGTTTGTCCTTTTGGCGATATCACGGCAACGTATCACTTGTTATTGTCAGAGATCTTTTTTTTATTTTTTATTCTAGCTTCTCCCCGTTTCTTGTTAGCACAATATCTAAAAATTGGCACGAGATTCATACATGCACACTTCAACAAACATTTAGCTTGGCCTGGAATAGTCACAATAAGGTTTTCAAAGTGCGCAGTTATGCGTGACGTCATCTACGCGCAATTTTGCGTTTTTACATTATCGATCATATCAGCCTAACCAATTGCCATTTCGAAATCGTATTAAGTGAGCATTAACTTCAAGTCAATGTTAAATGTAATGTACCCTAATTTTACATGTGCGCGTCATAACACGCATGTACGCGTACGTCAAAATTTTAAAATGCTTGAAATCACATTTAGATTAAATTAGAGCACGTTTCAGGTCATTTTGAGCATTTCAAAATTTTTTAAAATTTACCACTACGCATGTGCATTTTTATGCGCGCAGCACGTATGGAAGCTAGAAATTAATTGTCACATTTTGGGTTCTTGACATTGTTTTGACAAATTTCCAATCTTTTCAATCACTATGGCCAATAACAATGCCGTACGCACGCATCAAACATAGTGACCTTTGTGCGCATTTGTGACGATATACAGCTCTTTAGAATGCAAGGTGACCCCCAATTTTGATTACATATTCTGAAAGCACATGAGTTGTAAATATGATTTTATAGGTCATAATGGCTGATCGGACA